GCCTTTCCACAAAAGTGCCGCGAGCTCTCTCTCGCCACGACGGAAGAGAGATCCTGAGGGAAACGGGTCCTCAGGTGTTTCGCCGTGTTCGGCCCCCAAGGACCCTCCCCAGGCTCCGGGACCTTCCAAAAAGGGCTCCAGACGAAAAGTTCGTTCTGGGGGAAGGCCTCGGGGTGCAGGGCCCGTTCCCCTCAGCACCCGCTTCTTTTGTGGAAGTCCTTCCCCTCCTCCTCGTCCCTCCTCGCCACCGCCCTTCTGCTCTGTTCGGCTTCGTCCCGGGCAACCTTCGTCCACCTGCGCGCCCTCATCAGATCAGAGTTGAGTATTGTCGGGAGATAAATGTAGCTTGGTACGCACTTCCGTGAATGCGCACAAGACCTCGTCTCCCAGCTTATGTTATACCACAAGAACAGCAGTGTTGTTGACGCCACGCTCCCTTGCTGATTTCTTGTTCCCCTCCCCCCACGTGCTAGTTTAGTCTCAGTATATTACAGACCTTCTGAGTCAAAATCACGGCCCGCCCCCTTTTATCCCAATCACCCGTTCCTGCGAAGTGGTTACCAGACACGTTAGTTTAGGTGCAGGCAGCATTTGCACGGGCGTATTTGTATTTGTGATATGTGTTCCGCCTCTGCTGTAGCCAATTAGGGGCTCATGCCCTTCTCAGCCTTTCTCGTAAACTTGACACCTCAGTTTGGGAAGGCCACGAGTCACCGCATTGAATGATTGACTACAACTTATATAGTACCATTGCCGAGCATGCGCGACGTCTCAGATGTATCTTCTATGGCGTGAGCATTGTTGTAAACTTAGTGGTGTACGGCCTGTGGCAAGAGAGCATCATGGCATTGCCTTACCATAGCGAGGATTTCTTCAACATATCGGTGTTTCTTATCCTCTTCAACAGGGTTTTCGGCATCGTCTTTGCTTTCGGAATGGTGCAGATCTCAGGGGAGCAGTGCTGTCCTTGTGCTTCATTGTGGAAGTACGCGTTGATCTCCATGTCCACTCTTGTCGCCAGTGTCTGCCAGTACGAGGCGCTAAAATTCGTCTCGTTCGCCGTCCAGGTCTTGGGAAAGAGCTTCAAGATTATACCAGTGATGTTATGGGGATTGGTAGCGTTCAGAAGGAGATATCCAGCTGCCCGCGGCAAGCCCCGCCAGCACAGGGCCACAGCAGGGATGAAATTGAGTTTAGAACCCGCTCCAGCTCAATGCACCGTCTGAAGCGGCGCGGGACTTCAACACACATACACACACACTCTTGACGTGCATACTTATACCACACTTTGTATCGAAGACGCCTACGGCGAATCACCGCCGCCCCCTGCCTTTGTGGAAGCGCTTATGTGGCCGAACGTTGAGGCCAGACCTGCCAAGCTATCGGACCATGTGTTCCCCGAATCGGTTTGGAAAGCCTTCGGGGAACACGTGGGCATCTTGAAGGTCATCTTGGCCGCCTGGAGGCCATTTTGACCATTTCGGGCCTTTTGGGAGGACGTCTTGGAGGGCTCATGGGCCGTCTTGGAGGCCATCTCAAGCGTCTGGGAGGCCTCTTGGGCCGTCTTGGGGGCCTCTCGGGGCCGTCTTGGGCGCCTCTTGGGCCGTTCTGGGGCCATCTTGGAGGCCTCACGGCGATCCGTGGGCGATCTTTGGGAGCTCTTGGGCCGTATGGGGCCGTCGGAAGGCCGAAACGAAGCAAATGTCAAAATGCTTCAAAAACCTACGGAACATCACTCTTTTGGGCCTTTTCTGGCCTTCCTGGAGGCCCTCTTGGATGCCTCTTGGGCCATCTCGGGCCAGCTGCGAGCCACCTTCGGCCATCTTGGTGGGCTCCTGGCCCGTCTGACGCCGTCGGACGCCGTTTCGGGGGCCTTTCTGGGCCAACTTGGGGCCCTCTTGGGGTGCTCCATGGCCGTCTCAGAGGCCATCTTGGGCGTCTTCGAGGCCTCTTGGGCCGTCTTGGCGCCCTCTTGCCCGACCAGATGTCTGGGCCCCTGCTCTGGATAGAACCCCTCACCAAGATGGATCGGCACTGGACGCCCAATCCAGGAAAGCCACGCGAACCTCCGAAAGCTCATGTTTAGCATGCTTGCTTTTTCTTTTTCTTATTATTCTTCTTCTTATTATTCTTCTTTTTCTTCTTCTTCTTCCTCTTCTTCGGCTTCAGCACGCCCCGGCCGGACGTCCAGGTCCCAGGTTCTACATCCTGTGCTGTTTTCTGGGGGCCCTGGGGCCGGTGGAGGGACCCAGGGGTCCGAAGAAAGCGACATCAGTTCAGGACCCCTCTCCACCAAGGCTCCCGGACAGGGGGTCTGGACGTCATCTCCAGGGACCAGCTTTTCATCCCGTGTTGGTTTTTGGCCATGCCAGCGCTCAGCGCTCCTAGAAAGCTGAGAACCTAGAAAGCACACATTCCGTCGTGTTTTTTTCGACTCGAGGAGGCTTGGGATTGGACTCAAAATCCGAGTCCCCGGCGGCCAGCCGGGGCGACTAAGGCATTCCCATTCGGGACGACTAAGGCGCACTGACTAGACAGCACCATCTGACACGAAAGCGCTCAAACCATCCGACGACTTCCAAAAGCATCCGCCGCCCCTGAAGGGAGCCACTGTGGCCCTCGCACGGCCCCGCGGTCCCGCCACCGAATGGCTTGCGAGCAATAACTGAGGCCTCCGGCGGCCGTTCGGGGCGATTCGGGCACCCGCAGACGGTTCTTGGCGAGGCAGAGGTGTTGGAGAGCACATTGAGGCGACCCTCTCCTCCTCCCCCCCTTCATCTCCCTCCCTCTCCTCGCCTCGCTCATCGTCCCCCTGCTCCTCCCCCGCCCCTCCTCCCCCTCCTCCCCCCGAACCCGCCTGACTCCTGACCCTCCCACTCCCCCTTTTCCTCCCCTCCCCCTCCTACTATCCAGGAGCGGACGGGATTTCTTTCTGGTCCGACGAGATCCTCCTTGTTCCAAAACGGACCGACTCACGATTCAGAAAAGGCGGGCTCCTGATGTCGAACAAGCCAGTCCGGATCCAGCCTTAGACCGACTCGCGGTCAAGAACGGACTAGATCGCGATTTCGTCTTCTCCTGGATCGTGAATCGAGCCGGAGCTCGTGCCCTGCCGCCTACCAAGGGAGCCGCCTCCTTAGCCTCCTCAGCCCCTCCGCAACGCAACGAAAGGTCAAAACAAGCAGAACACAAGAAAGCAAGCTAAAGTGGGCACAGCTCAAATCCGACCAAAAGAGGGAGAGCGAGAGAGAGGTGACAGAGGGTAACAGCGGCTTGAAATGCCTCTCGCTCGCCCGACCGATTGTTGCGGTCGGCGGCCTCTGTTCGCGCACGGGAGATGGGCCAGGGTCCCCCAACTCCTCCGCCTCCCCGTCGGCACGAACCAATCCCCTCCTGGTACGGAGCCTGCCGCGACCGTCGAACGGGTCGGAAAATACGCTCGGCAAGGCGGCGATTTTGCCATTTCGCAGCTCCGTGAAACGGATGGGGAACATGGAACCTTCAACAACCTTGCACCCAAAGAAGAACCCACATGTAATAATGACAATGCAAATCGGACCCTTATCTTCGCTGTTGAGGGCTTTATGCTTGGGATCAGCTAAACCAGGCATTCGAATGACAATGTCACTTACTTTGCATGCATGCCAATTCCCCCCCCCCCCCCCTTCTCGAATCTTCCTCCTCCAGGGTGGCCCTGCCAGGCGCAAGAGCTCTACGCGGAGCTTGTTTCAGCCCACCCGATAAAACCTTGCGGCGAGGGAGGGGGACAGGAGGCACAGGAGGCGTACCCCTAAACAGCCGCTGATAAGATGAAAGTCGAGGAGAAGACCCACACCTTCGCTGTTCAGGCGTGCACACTGAATGCAAAAGCCTCGCACTCAGCCATGGCTGTCTGTGGTCGTTCGCATCAGAGCCATCGAACATGCAGGACAGGCGCTGCCCTGCTTCAGGCTTCATTTTCCCTTCCCTCGACGGCCTCCTGGGCAGCCCAGTTGCAAGCAGAGGTTGGGTGAGGCTGGAGGGGAAGGGGAACGGATGGGAGGAAGAGCGGGGAGGGAGGGGCACCAGAAAGTCATCTTCTGGCCAAAGGGCCCGCGCCGTTACGACAGAGCTTACTTCTGCCCTCCCAGCTATTCTGACAGGCCTCCAAGTCCTGACATCCTGGTCCGACAAATTCTGGATTGCCCTGGGGAGTGACGCCCGCTCCAATGGGCAACCGACGCTGGGAAGCAACAGCTGGGCGAGCATGTCCAGCGCGGCTACGGCAAAAGCTGCCCAATGTGTTTCTTTCATATTCCCCCCGCTCTCCCAACCCCACTTCCCCCAGAAATGGCTGGCGAGAAGCAGCAAAAGCCCGGAAGGGTAGGGATGGGCAGGGGAAATTCAGAAGAGCAGGTGAGGGATGATACATTGGGAGGCATCCTCTGGGCAGTGGCCCAGCGCATCAAGACCGAGCTGCCTTTATGCCTCGCCCGATCTGTCGTCGAAGAATATGCTATGCGTCCCTGCGGCTACAGGACTCACTCAACTAGCCCGCTGACTTGCCAAGCTTGGGATGACAAGCGAAGAAAGAGACGATCTTTATATCGTGTGCACATCCCGCCCCTCCTCCTCCTCCTCCTCCTATTCCTCCTCCTCCTCCTCCTCCTCCTCCTCCTCCTCCTCCTCCTCCTCCTCCTCCACCGCCCCTCCCGCTCCTCCTCCCCACCCCCACCCCTTTCCCATCCTCCTACTCCCCCCCCCTCCCCCGAGGAGGTGCGCAAAACAGCATTTTTCTTTTGGACCCTCACATGACTACCACAACGACCCCCTCCCTCCTCCCACCTCCTCCCACACCCCTCCCTCCCCCTTGCTCCCCCCCTGCTCCCCCTCCTCCTCCTCCTCCTCCTCCTCCCTCCTCCTCCTCCTCCTCCTCCTCCTCCTCCTCCTCCTCCTCCTCCTCCTCCGCCTGCTCCTCCTGCGCCTCCTCCTCCTCCTCCGCCTCCTGCCCTCCCGCCTCC